CACACGCACACGCACACGCACACGCACACGCACACGCACACGCACACACCAAGTAGCCACATGAATAAAGACAAGACTACCTTATTGTTTCAATTATCCTTACGTAGGAATTGAGTGGTTTAGCTTTCCTTCTGCACTTACATGGCACTCCACAGCATACAGTGTGAAATATCTATCCTGTGGATTGCCCAGAACAGCACTCATAATATCAGCCTAACTCTACAGTCAACACATATAATTAAAAAGTCCTCTATCCAATCAGACACTTGAAACTGTAATTATAACATGACCACTAGGACATAATTACAGAAGACACAGTAAACTTAAAAGTAATTAGGTAATGTATATTTATATGAAAATACATTATGTCTCCCTACTTGCTACCTTCATTAGTATTATGTAAATTCAGACAGTCACATGCTAGTTATAATCAAATTTCAAGTTCCAAATTTGAAAGAATACAAGTAACTTTCTTTTCAGTTTGAAGGAAATTCTGTTATCTATAAAGAATTCTAAAATTTCTAGATTTTGATGAATTCATTGATTAAATGATACTCCAGCTCATGTAGAGGGGTTTCATGACAGTGTCTCTCTACCCTTTACACACACACACACACACACACACACACACGCCATTCAAATTAAATTCTACACCTCTTCACACACAAACATGGAAAAACTGCATAATAGCTAACGATTTACATAGACTCTATCCAACCATTAAGCTCTTGTTTGTTTTTATTTTCTTGTTTCCACGTCCTCTATACAAACATTCCTTACTAATAAAGAAGCATCATTTATTCTCCTCAGCTACCCACGGAGACTGCATGGCTTCAGGGTGATTACCGTGAGAGGACATGTGTGCACAGCTGTGTGTTGTTCTGTGTACTCCCCACTAGAGGCAGGATAGACCCTTCTATATATATTCTATACTTCTCTACTTAACACAGGCTATCCCACTACCTGGAAGCAACTAAAAGTCCCCTTCACACTCCTGGAGCAGAGCAGTACACTTATAGGGTACAATCTTGGGATTCCTAGGATAACTTATCCCACAAATTGAATTTAAATAGAATTTAAAGGAGACAAAGTCTCAAAGATAAGATCAAAGAAGATTTTAAAAAAAAGGCAAACAAACAAAAAACCCTAACCTTTTTTATTCTTAAATAGTAAAAAAGCAACTCACAGAGCCTGGTGCCTGGGGCATCTGTGAGCTCACCTCAGGTCGGAAGTTGAGCTAGAGCATCATCACTTTGAGGCCACCAGGATTCTGTCTCAAAAAGTAAAACAAAACAAAGTAGCTAATCTTACTGACATCTGGCTGGGTGCTGGTTGTGACACTGAGACCTAGGAACGCTATCTTGTGACGCTAACCCAACCAAACAAAGTACACACTTTCCTTCCCTGTGCTTCAGAAAAGATAAATCTGGAAGAAAGAAAAGTTAAGGTGTTGTTTTCTTTTTTCTTATTGCCTTTGAGATTTTGTTTGTTTATTTGTTTTGTCTAAGAAGGTAGTAAATAGTTAAAACCTAAATCCAGATCTGCCTTTATTTCTGAGGCAAGGTATCTGAGTATTTAAAAGCATCTCTCCAGCAGTGTTATGTAAATGTGGAAAGAATAACTTCATTAATAGCAAGCCAGAAAAGCCTGAGCCCACAAAAGCCTCGTCCCTCAGAGGGCTACCTTGCTTTATAAATCTGGAAGAGAGAAGCAGGAATACATGGGAGATGATAAATAACCAACCATTAGGGCAGCCACATCAAGCATGGCCCCCCTGCCTGTTCATTCTCTTGTCCCACATGTGTTTATTCGACATGTAAGGATTTAGGGCAGTTAGCCAAAGTCTCACAATGGACTCGGGAGGGGGTCATGAAGTCCCACACCTATTTGAGGATTGGTAATTGTGACGGAGAGGGGCAGTCACTTTTCTTCAGGGATTTGGACCTAGAGATGCTATTCATGTTCCAATTAATGATCTAACACTCGTGTGCATACAGACAGAACTAATGTACTCAGAGGGGCAGGGTGCAGAGCACACTGGAGTGGGGATATGTGAGCATCACGCACAAGTTGGGAGGAAAATGTGGAAGGGAGAAATTGAAGGGAAGGGAATGAGGAGGACGGATCTGATGCAAATAAGCGCTATGTATGCATGAACACTGGTGAAATGTTTACAGAACTAATCCTAGCCGAACATGTTTTACCTAAGACTTCCTTTGGGTTAACCATGAGTTCCTTTCAGCACACTACAAGCCTGAATTCTACTACTAAGCAATACTATTCAGTAGTAAATGAATCTTACAAAGGTCTACACTCTGAATTTTCTTTCTAAGAATGACCTAGAAAATCTTAGAACTTAAGACTCATGAAACAAGAAGGACCAGTCTGCTCCAGGGATGGTGACAGGTGAGCCGATCCAAGCAGACATACATATGTAACATTAACAACAGAAGCCCTGAATGTGAATGGAGGACTTGGAGGGAAGAGCCGGGAATGGTGCTAATACAGTTCTCATATATAAAATTCTCAAACGCTAAAAATAAAAACTTAATCTTGGCTATGATTTTATACAAATGAGCTCACTAAGCTCAAGTACTTAAGTTTAAAAATGTGGCCGCCTTACCTGAGTAAGAAGCACGAATTGGGCAAACTGCCAAGGAAGCATGAAGAATACATTGGAAATGCAGAGTGCAATCAAACTCCCTCTGTAAAGTTTTGTAGCCCTTGGAAAGATAAATATCAGGAGGTTTAACTACAAAACAGTCCAGCATAGCTCCAAACTGCTGCCAATCAGAATCATAAGCATGATCTGGGGTTCACATAAACTGTGCACAAGATGAACCAATGGGTTAGAAATTACACCTTCAGATTCTCAATTACAATAATTTTCTATAAAAAGTAAATACCTATTATTACTTCAAAACCATAAGACCCTGCCAAATAGAAGGAGGGAGGCCAGTTGAGTACGGTTATTTTTTTTTTTTACATTGTATTTTTGTGAATTTACAATCAAACTTCTTAAGATGTTGAGTCCGCAGATCCATGAGTTGGAGAAGAGACTGTTGAGGAGAAATAACACAAGTGACATCCTATGAGCCAGGCAATGTGTGGAGGAACACTGCAGAGATGGTGCATGGGGTGAGACCAAGTGCCGGGAAGCAGCAGGAAAGCCAGTCTTCTGCAGGTGCCCTTTGGAAGAGAGAAGCAGAGGCAAAGAAGGAGCTGATCTGGAGCCATCACTAGGGGTGCCATGTTAGGACCGACCAGTACTGTACAAGACTTTCAGGAACAGCCTTTACTCCCACAGATGGGATGAGCCAATGCCAAGCCCCCAAGTCTGCCACCATCCTCACAGAAGTAGAGTGAGCATACCGGGTGAGGAGCCAGCAGTGAGGGACGCCACCATAGCTGCCTTCCTAGACTGCTCCAAGGAACAAGCCTGCTCTGCTGCTCTAACCCAGCCCAAGTATTCTTAAGCACCTGGCAACCTTAAGAACCAAGTAATTAGATGAAAACTAACACTTTCGATGAAGTGGAAGGACAGACAACCTCGAGCTGCAACATGGGAAACAGGGCACCATCCCATGAATCTTGGCCATGTGCTTGCACATGTATGAGTTGGACCACAGTGAACATTACAGTCAAAGGGGCTGAAATGCCATTCTGTAAAACAAAGCATTTTTCTGCTACTTTTGAATATGAGGCTTGATTTTCATTTTATAGTTAACAAGGAAAATTAAGGATAGAATGTAATACTAATCTGGCAGTTCAATATATAATGCACTCAGAGAAAATAAGAACCAAAAGAAACCAAAGGAATTCCAGCTGGTAATGATCAATACAGCACTAGCCCTGGACAGCAGAAATGAAAAACAAACATTACTTAGACCAACTGAGAATAAACAGACTGTGGTGGTGAAGAAGGTGGTTTGTGTAAAACCTGGATGTTCAAAAACACTTCAAATGCTAAACTGCACAAAACAATTGGCTAAAATAAAACCTATTGCTAACCTCATTTCGAAAGTATTCCTGTCCTCAAGGAGACAGGAAACAAAAGAAGGTGGGGAGTGCATGCAACAGAAGAACCTTGAGGAAAATCTCAGAAAGTGGCCCAGAGACAAGCAGGCCACAGCTATAGGAGCAGCCCCCAGCACAGTGTGTCTGAAATCTTGTGATGAAACAGGGCATGGCAACGGGGAAGGCATGTCCAGGTGGAATTAAGATTTCTAATCACCTATCCTACGGCAAGCATAGCTCCTGGCTATGCAGGTGAACCCAGCATAATTACACAATCTTGGAAGTAGACGAAAGGCTGCAGAGCAGGGCAGAGTGAGTATAGGGAAAGGTGCAGTTCTCAACTACTAGCTTTCATGATGGAACAGAAACCAACATACAAAGGATCAGGGAAACTGAGTCTCTCTCAAGGGCCCCAGGCAGAGTGCAGCCTTGCCAGAGCCTGCAGCTTGGGACCTCAGACCCACAGAGAGGTATGGTTAAAAGGATCAACCCACTTTAATTCATTCTCAGCTGCCACAGAGCCACAGACCAGAACAGGGCGGGAAAGAGAAGAATTGGAGTCTCCTCATCATCAGACTTAACAGGAGCAGACACAGGAAAAGTGAACCAGGTGCTCCTGAGTGGTTTAGTGTCTGTACACATGGAATGGGAAAGCCAAGAATGACCGTCATGTGGATGTGAATTACTCCTGAGGGTGAGCAGAAGGTGGGCTTGCAATGCAGCACTTCCTCCAGACTGCACAGAGCCCTTTCTCTCAGTGCCAGAGTCTATAGTGCAGAGCTGTGTCTCATTTGCAGGAGCTGAAGCAACACTGAGACCTATCATAAGCAAGGACTTAGGGGAAGGCTGGAGTGGAGGTATGTGGGCTTTTAAAAGGCTGACAATGTAAAAACCACCACAAACTTGACCTATGAAAGGTCTGAGTGATGAGACTACATGAGGGACAGGAAGCTGTGTACAGGCCCTGTCTTCTACTTCCATTACAGAGGTAACACTCAGAGTTTTGCACAGTAGCCTTCCCCACTCTTCAAAATCCACCAGACCACTGAATAGAGTTCTCAGACCCAAACAGCTTCAGATTGTTCCAGGCTTTGACCCACAGGCACTAACCCATGTTGGCACTCTGGATAGAGGCAATGCATGTCTAAGCTCAGAATGTGTCCACGGAAAGACAAGCTGCTCTTATTCTCAGTAATACTTAAACTTAATTCAATTCTGGATTTCTGACAGGAACTCTATGGTCTATGGAGGTGGTTTCTCTCTATAGCTACTATCTGATATTCAGACACTAAACAGGCATCCGGACACAAAGTTCCTGTGTTAGTGCTCCCAACTGGGACTCTGAGTTCTGCTCCTGAGGGATGGGTTCAGGATGGCCAGCCTCTCTCTTCATTTGGCAGCTGACATGGCAAAAGAGAAAGCCCAGGGAATGTGGAGAGAAGTAAACATGGATTTACTCATGAACAGTGACCACGGGCACAAAAGCAAAACGAGGACCAGAGGGCAGGTGCAGGAAGATCTTTAAAGTTACATTTAAAAAAAAAACACTTTAAAATTATGTCTATTAATTCAACAAAACATCATCACCTTAATTTACTATGCCAATTTTTATTAAGGAAACTTAAAGATATTCTTTTAAAAAAATGTACAAAACTCTAATTTGTTGTTTAAGGGAAAGTAAAACCCCATCAGGAGAAATCAGTGAGAATTACCTGAGAATATGAGTCACAAGCAACATCTGAAGTACAAGGAACGGGTATGAGAAGCTCTCTCGGAGAGGCGGCGTCCACATCACGCGGGTACACTGAAAAACGAACAGGCCACAGGATGCGCTCACTCAAGGTGCTGACAAACACAGGGTGAAGAGGGTGATCAGGAAACACCAAGTACTGCCTATACGCACTTTAGATGATATACTGCACACAAGTGCTGGGCTTTCTGTAAATACAAATGCTGGGAAGTGAGAGGCAATGCTGGGAAAGGGGCACCGGGGTCAAGGCACGTGTCAAGTACATGTGTGGCCCACACTGTGCTTAATCTGTCCATCAGTTAACCTTTGTTGTCGATCCTTTGTCTTGGGCATTGTGACTAGTGCTAAGGCAGACATGGGAGTGTGGGTAAATTTTGATAAAAGTTGTATTCCCTTTGGAGATATGCCTGAGAGTAGAAGAGCTACAGAATGGGTAGGTATTTGTTACAACAATCCATGGTGTATTTCAAAACTCCTAAAAGAGTGTGACTGTTCTAACATGCAGATGTGTTCAGCACTAGGAAGATGCAAGTGCTTACAGCTCAAACTGTGATCTCGAAATACCATTTTCCCCAACAAGATACAAGATTCTGTGAAAATAGTTGGTTCTGTGTCTTGGGACAGGGTGATCCTATGGCATCATTTAGTACCAGGAAGAAAGTCTTCTAAGATGGAAGAACATATGAAAAGAAGTGAAATACCACCCCATCCTTTTCAGAGACACTTCTCTCTGCACTGAAGATCAGTGAATGTAGATGCAGGCCTGACAGCTCAGCCCTAACAGAACCTTCATCCCACATCTGCTGGGCTCAGAGAACATCTTGAAAGACAGGATGGAAAGAACGTAAGAGCCACGAGACAAAAAGAAACGATGCAAAAAGTTGTCTCCTGTGCACAGTGTAGTCACTGCAGCTATGGCTGCCTGCCCTGGACCTGAACAAAACTGGGGGCAGTCAACAGGTGCTCATGAATCATGGAAGGAAGGGTGGCTCCTAGGGGCCCTTCTCCTCTTTGCTGCACTAGTGGCTACTGACAGTCCTGGGGAAAACCCACACTATCAAATTGCCCTATAAATATTTATGTCCATACCCATAGATCTGTGCTGCTCTCAAGTCTGGCAGAAGCTTCTCACTGTGTGTGTGTGTGTGTGTGTGTGTGTGTGTGTGTGTGTGTGTGTGTTGGGGGGGGTAATGGTTTGAAGTGCTGAGAGCAAGAGACAATGAGTGCTCAGCTGTTTATGGGGCACCTAAATCCACTGGTCCCCACCCCAAGTCCCAGGGATCATCATGTAAGCGGAGCATAAGGATGTAAGAGCTGGATGATGGAGGAGGGCTGTGACCCAGTCTTCTGCACATGACTTAACTACTACACATATGGATTCACAGCAGCTATGGCTATCTGCACAACCCAGGGAGACCCCAGCATGGATATGGGAGGAGCCACCAAGGCCCCACACCCAGCTGAGGCGCTCTTGCCAGTTGATGGCTGTTGGGGGAGGGAGAGGGTACTAGTTGCCCATGTCCCAGTGGGTTGCCCCACACCCATGCATTTGTGGGCAGCTCTGATTGCATTCAATGAATTAAAATAATAATAAATACAAAGAGAGCAGGAAGTTTGGAGGGAGACCAACGTGCTGAGAGGTTCTGAGGGGAGCTGATCAGGTAAATATGACTAAGACATACTGTGTGCTTGTAAGAAATTCTCAACCAAGAAAAAAACTACTATTTCAAAACAGAAGGTAGGAATCCATTTCTATAGAGTCTCAAAAGTGCCAAACCCATCAATACTGAAGGAGAAAGGATTTATTTCCCACGGAGGAAGTTAGGAGTGTCAAATAAACAGGGCTAAAGCCTCCTGTGCCTTAATCTAGAGGGGTAGTCTTCAACCTGTGTGTGGGCTGTGACCTTTCACAGGGGCCTTACAGCAGATACTTATGCTACTTATAACAGAAAAGAAGTGACAGTTATGAAGTAGCAAAAAATAATCTTACAGTAGGGGATCCTCACAGCATGAGTAACTGTATTAAATTATCACAGCCTTAGGAAAGTTCAGAATCACTGTTCTAGAGAGTAGCTACATAATTGGTACATACGTAAAATCTGTTCAGCTTAACAGATACTGTATATGACACTAACATGTGTAAATTATGTATGACTTATAGCAAAGGCAACTATCGAAATTGTAGCGATCTGAACATCAAGAATTACGATGACCAGATTATAAAACATTACTCACAAAAGAACCCATGTATATATAATAAAAGTAAAAGAAAGCAAGAGGGATGATTCATCTTTATAGAACACCAATTATTAAACATAGACAAAATAAGAGGATGAGGAAACTGCCACTTTAAATAGCTAACAGTAAACAATTCAGGCAATGTTCATCAATGGATGTGAGCATTTGGTAGCATGCTTCAAGGAAACAAGGCATTCTAAATCTCAAAGTATCAGGACACAAACCACTTAGTAGCACACAAAGAAACAAGAGTATCTTTTCAACAGACAAATCTGACTTCTACCACCTGAGCCACAGGACTGACTGAAGGAATCCAATAATGTGGCAAACTGGTCTCACAAGCTTCTCAATATATTACAATAAAAACGATACATCATCTGCTATAGTCTTCAAAAACTGTCAAATCAGGGGACCCACTGGTGAGGAAATAGACAGGTGCAAATCATGGAACTTGTACCAAACACCAGGCCCAAATTCTAATGCCCATCCTGACAAACAGATGGATCACTACTCTAGAAGAAACATTCTAGATTAAATGATAGCTAAAAACCATGTGTGATCCTTAAATCAAATTCTGAATCCAAAACAAAAGCATAAAGGAACTGCCTGGAATAACTTTGGAAATCTGAGTGTGCAATATGTTATCACTGAATTTCTTAAGTATGAGAAAAGTCAGTTATGATGATGTAGCACCTTCTGGACAACATATACAATGGTGTTTAAGGCAAGATGCTATGAAGCACAAATCTCATACCCATATGGAATAAGACGATATCTGCCTGGGTAAGGTGTATACATGACAGTAAGAGAAAGCAAGCATGCAAAGTGGTAAATTAAGAGCTACTGAGATGGCTCAGCGGGCAAAGGCACGTGTCCCAACCCTGAGTTCACTACCCAGGACACACATGGGGAAGGAGAAAACCAGCTAACTCCTACCCACTGTCCTGACTGTAATATGTGGAATGAACATATACACACTACACACATAAACATACACACCAAACACACACTTAAACCCACACACTCTCTCTCTCTCATACACACACACACACACACACACACACAATGATAAAAAATTTTAATTTTTAAGAAAAATTGGTAAACAAAAGTGAAGGTTAACAGGGTCTTACTTATATAGGAAATAAAAAATGTTATACTAAGAGAAATGAAAAAATAAACTGGTGCTTCTTAAGATTCAGGGTAGGAAGAAGACGGAGTATAGTGAAAAGGAAAATTCAGATCAAAGGAACGAAGCCTCACTTAGACTAGAAGAGTGTCAGTGGTCTACTGTACTGCTGTAACCACAGTGAACAGCACACTTTGTATTTAAAATGACTCTAAGAATACTTTTAATATCTTTAATCACAAAATGTAATTATTTTGACTAATAAATCTACAATGTGTAGACAGATCATATAATTATCATTTTTCAATTAAAAATACACTAATAGTTAATAAATCTATGTGCTCAGTAAACATGAGTTAATGAGTCTTTAGTAGTTTCATTTAATGCACACTGAGATATTATAACTTCCTGCTATGAAAAAATATTGGGAAGATGATCGAAATTGTTTTCAGTGTTCTAAGAATTGTTTTCCAAATTTTATATAAGCAAGATAATCATGCCAATAAGTAATTAGTATCATGCAGATTTGTATTTTAATCTTAGCCCAGTTAACAATATCTAAGACACTCAATATTCCACTTCAGAGATACCCGCGCATCCATGTTCTCTGCTACCCTTGCCAAAATAGGCAGGAAATCAAAACAAGCTAAAAATCCTTCAACTGATGGACAGTGAAAGTATGAAACATACGCACAACAGAGTTCTGCTCAGTTGCAAAGAAAATAAAATGAAATGAAGTTAGCAGGTAAATGGCTAGAATTAGAAAAGCCTGCACTGAGGTCACGCAGACCACAGAGATGAAGCACCCCCGCTCACTTGTGCATCCTAGCTCCAATCGTTACTAACCTGGAGATGCGGATGGTAGGAGGCAGGTGCTACAGAGGAAGCAGTGGGAATACAGAGTAGAGACAAGGAGAGGTAACACTAAGGATGTCTGCAAAAGCCACAGGGAAAACATTTTATAAGTTAACTTAATGTTTGTGTGTACAAAAGCGTGTGTTTGTGTGTGTGTGTGTGTGTGTGTGTGTGTGTGTGTGTGATGCAATTGCACCACATGGGGTGATAACTATCCTTAATACCTAAGAAAAAACCTGGAGTCCCAGGTACAGAGGAATAAAAGAGTTTCAAAAACCAGTATGGACTATTTATTTCCATTGCCTTTGGTTGCCTTCCAGAATGTGAAGGTAGACCCTATTGCCTAAGACAACATAAACTTTGGACATAAGGTCTGGAGAACTGTAATGCAACTGGACTGACAGCCTGAGGACTGCTTCCATGGTATTAGAAGGTGACATCAAATCTGTCAAGAAAGAGAAGCCATCAGCAGTCCTACCAAAGCTGAAAAGCTCATACCCACCATGATGACACAATGACAATGTGGGAGAACAGATTCCACAATGGTGCAGTAGAGCCACTTTTGTCTTGGGTATAAACAGCAGCTATCAAATTAAATTAGACTCAATCTGCTCAACAGGAGGAAACTGATCATATAAATCTAGCTAACTGCCTATGCTGGAGAAGTCACAGACCTGAGGAGAGAACCTACTGCTGCCATTCTCCTAAACCAATATAATTTCTAACTGCTCTAAAGTCTTATCCTATGTCAACAGGGTAAGTGGAGTGCTCCCCACCCACAGAGCTTCTGTACAGAACAAACTGGGACTATTACACAGACCCTCAATTCATCAAACAGCATAGTTGAATGACTGTGGGGTACCCAACCCCGACTGACAGATCTGTACTACAACCAACCCCTATGCCCAAGACTGAAGGAAACTCACAGAAGAGGGGACAGAGAGACTTGAAGAGCCAAAGGCCTGAGATGGCTACTTCTAAATAGTATCTCCTAGATAGAACAGAGAAAATGCACCCAAGAAATCTCAACAGTGTGGTTGCCTGAGATGAGACAAGCCAAGTGATATGCACATGGTCCCACAGTGATACAACGTGCAACACCTGACCAGTAGCTTCTAAAATAGGAGGAGTCTGTTTCCTGCACAGATGAACATACAAGTAGTTTATCTAATACAAACAATGCTACATGGATTCAGTTTGTGTGCATCCATACACACAGATACACACACACAACAATGTAATTAAACATAAATAAATGAGAGGGGACATAGGAGAATTTGAATGAGTGAGAAAGGAGAGAACAATGTATGTTAAATACTGAAGTTCTCAAAAATGAATAAGTATATTTAAGAAATTGGCATGAGTAAATACGTTGTGGGTAGTTTTAAATGGTTAATTAGAAATGGCCCTCAAGACAATATTTCCATCTACCTTCACTTACTTTTCTAAAGTAAATTTTTGAAATTTTCAAAAGGCTTTTTCATTTTTATGTGAGTATATTCATAATAGTATTCTTATATAAAACATTGATAATACACAGTAATTTTTAAGTCCCTATGGAAAAAACTAGACAATCCTATTTCACAGAGAAAGGAATTTCTAACAGTTAAAATTTAAAGCAGGGAGGGCTGGAGTGACGGCTGAGCAGTTAAGAGCAGCTGCTCCTCTTATACAGGGCAGCAGCTTAGTGCTCAGCACCCACAGTGACTTCTCACAACTGCCTGTGTAATTCAAGCTCCAGGGAATCACACACAACACACACACACACACACACACATTCTCTCTCTCTCTCTCTCTCTCTCTCTCTCTCTCTCTCTCTCTCT